CTCCGGCCCTTTAATAGAGACCACCGTCCCATTTTCCCCCCAACCTCCGAACGGCCGACGATCCTTTCCAGGCGAAGGAAGTTCGCCCTTCTGAAGACAGAAAGCCTCCCCGCTATGTGGGCGCTGGCAGAGGAGCCCAGGGCTTGGCAAGCCTGGAGGATGGGTGGCCAATTACACCAGCGACTGACTGGTTAACAGTTATCGGCGATGACTTCACCGGGCGCCTGTTCCAGCTGGGCACGTGGCACACACGCACCGCGTCCGTTATTCTTGCCAAGAATCCTGCAGATGGAGGTGGTCACTCCCATTTTCCCAGCTGAGCTGATCCTCAGAAACTTAGGCAACTTGTTTACATGGTCAGAAGCATTCATCGTGGAGTGGAGGTGGAATGCAAGCCCATCTGTGCTGCGTCACAGCCTGCACTCTCTCCTCTGAACTCTGACATAGCCAGTCTGGATTGTAAATGCACTAGATCCCTCAGGAAGGTGTTTAAAAAAAAAACACAAGACAACAACAAAGAGTCCTAAAATTTGTTTGGAACTGCAAAAAACTCTGACTAGCCAAAGCAATCTAGAGAAAGAACAAAACTCCCTGATTTCAAACTATACTACAAAGCTACGGTAATCAAAACAGTATGGTGCTGGCATGGAAACAGACACATAGATCAACGGAATAGAATAGAGAGCCCAGAAATAAACCCACACATATGTGGTCAATTAATCTATGACAAAGGAAGCAAGAATATAAAATGGGGAAAGACAGTCTCTTCAATACCAGGGAAATGCACATCAAAACCACAATGAGATACCACCTCACACCTGTCAGAATGGACTATTATCAAAAACACAACAAATAACAAGTGTTGGTGAGGATGTGGAGAAAAGGAAACCCTTGTACATTACTGGTGGGGATGTAAAACGGTGCAGCCATTATGGAAAACAGTAAGGAGGTTCCTCAAAAAAAATAAAAATAGGACTCTATCATCCAGCAATCCACTTCTGGATATTTACATGAAGAAAACAAAAACACTAATTCAAGGAGATATATGACCCCTATGTTCATTGCAGCATTATTTACAATAGCCAAGATATGAACGCAACCTAAGTTTCTATTGATAAATGAATGGATAAAAATTTTATACACACACGCACACACACATACACACAACTGAATATTACTCAGCCATAAAATGAGAATCAAATCTTGCCATTTGTATGAACATGGATGGACCTAGAGGATATTATGCTAAGTGAAGTAAGTTGGACACAGAAAGACAAATATGAGAGTTCACTTATAGGTGGAATAGAAAATAAATGAACAAACAAAACAGAAACCGACTGGTGGTTATCAGAACGGGAAGGAGTTGAAGGGCAGATGAAATAGGTAAAGGGGATTAAAAGGTACAAACTTCATATTATAACATAAACAAGTCATTGGTATGTAATGTACAGCATTGGGAATGCAGTCAATAATATGGTAATGCCATCAATAATATGGCAACCAGAATTATCATGGGGATCATTTCATAATATATTTAAATATCCAGTCACTATTATGTACACCTGAAATGAATAAGATATTATCCCATATAATAAAAGGCTAATATGCAAATTGTCCCCTGGACCTGGAGTTTGACCAGGGGGCAGAGCTGGCCACCAAACGCCAGCAGCCCCTCCGCCCAGCCAACCCAATCCTCAGATTGGGGTGGGCTGGTCAGACCTCACCTGTGCACAAATTTGTGCACAGGGCCTCTAGTATGTCAATAAAACAAGAGCAAGACAACAGGCCCCAAATGGAGTCTCTTATGCTAAGCCCACATTTCCAAACCAAGACCTAGCTTAATTATAGTTCCAGCTCTCCCGGAAATGGCATCTGGCAGGTAAGACCCCTGCTACCCCCTAAAAGAAAGTAGCCTACAATAACCAGCCACCCTTTTTGCCTGGTATAACGTCCTTGTTCCTGCTCCCTTCTGCCTATAAAAGTCCTCCATTTTGAACAGCTTTTCAGAGCTCCTATCTGCTACACTGGATGCTGCCTGATTCAAATCGATTTTTGCTCAAATAAACGTTTTAATATGCCTCAGTTTATCTTTTAACAAAGGCACAAGCAACGTTGGACAGACAACTAAGGGGTGGGGAGGAAGCCTGTAAAACCCATCCATAGTCAGGGAGCAAAAAACCAGCCCAGATGTGAGGTAGATGAGGCCCAGGCCCTGCAGCCCAGGCTGTTTTGGTAAGGAGCAGTGCCTGTGCGTGCCTGCTCCAGTGCTGGGGTGGAGGGGTTCCCCACCTCTCCCAGGAGTGCAAGGTGCTGGAAGTCACCTGGTGGACAGAGAAAAGGAAGTCATTTGTGAGAGGGCTCACTCAGCCTCGACATCTGTAACCAGTCAGCCGCAAGCCCACATGGTGCTTCCTGTAATATCTGCCACAGACCTGGCACACACACAAACTTCAAGGCAAAGTTCAAAACTGTGGTGATGTGACATGAGGCTGTTGGCATTACAGGCTGATCGGATTTGACTGGACGAGATGGACTAAAGCTGAGATGGGCAGGACCCAAAGAGGTCTGAATGGATGGGGGTGACGGCCAAGTTATCCAGGACAGAACTTAAATCACATCAAAGGAGCCACACATACTCCACATCTCTAAAAAGAAAGGCTCGGTGATGGTGGAGCGATGGCTTCATGGGAGCACGAGTGGAAAACACAAATTGAACTGAGTGTCTGAAGGGCTACAGGCGGTTCTATGGAAGAACAAGCACCAGTGCGGGCAGCGGCCAAAATAAAAATATACAGAGCAAACAAACTCACAAACCAGATAGTGGTTCCCTGGGCCCCCGGCCAGGCCTTCAGACAACACAAATTCTGTATCTACCATATGCCAGGTCCTGGGGATCCTGCAGGGAGAGAAGCAGACTGGCAGGTCCCTGCTTTGGTGCAATTTATATTATTAAGCCCAGAACCTAACCGGGGCCTCCTGGTTCATAGGTCTATGCTCAACCATTGAGCCACACCAGCCAGGGTCGATCCCATGCAGTGCAGGCAGCAGGCCGCCGATTAATGATTCCCTCTCATCACTGATGTTTCTGTCTCTCCCTTCCTCTCTGAAATCAATAAAAACATATTTTTTAAAAGATATCTACAATGTCCACTAATGATAACTGCTATGAGGAGAGGGTGATGTCCAGAGTATGGGGTGGCAGGACAAACATTCCTGGACCCCTCTCCCTCACCGCCCCACCATTCCCTTAGGGAGGCTTTCTGACCGGGAAATTACTGTGCAGAGCTGGAGAGCAGTTGCCATCGGTACCTGGCAGGGCGGGGCGGTGCTCCCGTGCTCGCAGGGGGCTGGCACTTTGCAAGAATGCAGCTTGCCAGGGAGAACCGGCCAGGGCGCATGCGCACTAGTGCGGGCCGTGCAGACACGTGCACGCGCGTGAGAGCGGGAAGGGGACCCCTAGCCTGGAAGGGCGGGGGGGGTGGGGGGGTGCGAGGCGGCTGCTGCCGTTGCGGCCCCCGCAGGAGGCCCCGTGGAGGGGGGTCTGCGGGCGCCATGGAGCATCGCCCTTTCTGCTGTAGCGTGAAAGGCTTTGTGAAGATGCTGCGGCTGGTGAGCGCCGGCCGCGGGGTGGAGGGCGGCGTGCAAGGTGCTCAGGGGCAGTGATGGGTGTCAAGTAGGAAGTAGAATGCCCCGTCTTCTCTTCCAACCTTGTTTTTATCAAGGCCGCCCTAGAGGCGAGGCATCCCAGCGGGAAGGAGAGCGATAAGGCACTGTCTTTGCGCACTCATAACGCAAAGTCAGCCTACTTACCTGGATGGCCTGCGCTTGGACCCCAAGCCAGGTCCCCAGGCTACCAGGTGAGGCAGCTGCACTTGTACCATTCAGAAGCCAGCAAGGTAAGAAGACTCAAGGGTTTCGGGGGATGCTGTGCTTTTTTTTTTTTTTTTTTTTAATATATTTTTACAGAGAGGAAGGGAGAGGGACAGAGAGCTAGAAACATCGATGCGAGAGAAACATCGATCAGCCGCCTCCTGCACATCTCCCACTGGGGATGTGCCCGCAACCCAGGTACACGCCCCTGACCGGAATCGAACCTGGGACCCCCTAGTCCGCAGGCCAATGCTCTATCCACTGAGCCAAACCGGTTTCGGCGGATGCGGTGCTTCTTTACTTTCGGTCAGAAGTTTGATGTGACCGAGCTCAGGGCTCATTCAGCCCAGAGCCTGGAGTGTGGGGGCCTACAGGAGCACCGCGGTCAGTTCTGAACAGACACTCGGAGAGAATGAATCCTCGTGGGGAGGAAGGTGACCCGGCTAGTGAGAGAAGTGGCCACTGCCATAGGAGACTGTGCTGAAGAAGTTCAAGAAAAAGGGGGAAGGGAAAGAAATTTAATTTTAAAGCAGTGACCTTATAGGAGATGAGGTGGAAATAGTTCAGTTACTACAGGGAAGCAGTTCTGCTTACGATGAGGAAGAACGTTATACTGGGAAAGTTCCCCAAATTACATGGCCACTTGGGAAGGTGGTACATTCCCAGAAAGCAAGGTAACAGGCACAGATGAGCACTTGGTGAGTCGCTATAGGGAATGTTGTGAATAGCTAGATAAATGGTTTCCGCCGGATGCACACATCCATGCATTTCAGTCATGCCTTTTAGATGTGTGTATGGCAGAAACCGGTTTATTGGGGTATTTTAGAAGTGATCATTTTTAACAGCTTACGCTTGTATTCAATAATCACTGATAAGTCATATCTGTGTGTTTTTTCCTTACAGGCACTAACGGCGACATCTATGACCCTTTTCATCATCACACAGGCCCCCGAACCATACATTGTTATCACTGGATTTGAAGTCACCATTATTTTATTTTTCATAATTTTATATATGCTCAGACTTGATCGAATAATTACCTTTCTATTTTGGCCTTTGCTTGTAAGTGTTCAGTTTCATCGTTAAAATTAACTACTTCTTCCTGCTCTAGTGAAACATTTTAATAAACTCTCTTCTTTCGTTTTCTTAAGCCTGTAAGGGTTCTCTGATACACGTAGGAAGGAGAAACACTACCCAGTGCTAAGGTGCCCTGTATTGTCCCCGGGGGAGATTCTCAGGGAGCCAGGGTAGTCACTGCACATAAATTCCCCTTTGAACTCCGTCCAAAGGAGATGTGGCTGACCCTTCTGTCAGGAGAATTCACCTAAGTGTAAATCTTTTCAAAACATTTAAATTAAAGGTCATGGTTAGGTCTAGAATATTCTTTATCTTCCTTTTAAATGCATGCTGCATTTAAAATTGGGGGGTAGAGATGGAGGCAAATACACAGTATCTATATCTTACACATCCCTGATCACTAAATGGAAAATCAAAATAATTTGGGAGGCTCAATAAAGCACAAAATTATCTTATTTTAAAAGTCTGCAGTCATTAACGCATCTTGTAGAGCCTTATTTAGTAGCATATGGATTTCATCTGCCACATTTGTAACATTACGAATAACTGCCCGGTGGAGTGCCCACATAGTTCTATACACTGTCAAAATAGGCGTGTGGAAGATATTAGTTAAGGTGTATCTGGTCCTGCAGTCTGTACTCTAAGCTGGTTCTAGGACAGTGGCTCTCAACCTTCCTAATGCCGCAACCCTTTAATACAGTTCCTCATGTTGTGGTGACCCCCAACCATAAAATTATTTTCGTTGCTACTTCATAACTGTAATTTTGAAGACTGTTATGAATCGTAATGTAAATATCTGATATGCAGGATGTATTTTCATTGTTATAAATTGAACATAATTAAAGCATAGTGATTAATCACAAAAACAATATGTAATTATATATGTGTTTTCCGATGGTCTTAGGCGACCCCTGTGAAAGAGTCGTTCGACCCCCAGAGGGTCGCGACCCACAGGTTGAGAACCGCTGTTCTAGGAGAAAATGAATGACTTCAACTCTGTCTCCTCTCTCAAGCCTTCTCCCCAGCATCCTATCTCCAGAGGTCTCCCTTCTAAGACCCTCTGCTGCACCTGTCTCCTCCTCCTGAAGTGATCTCCAGGCTGATAACCCCTGTTTAAAAAAGAGGACTTGAGAGCTATTCTCAAACCAGAAGCATGCCTTCAAGTGGTACCTTCTGAAACCACCTTCTAAGGCCAATGATGATCATTTCAAGCTAATTACAAGCTGAGAAATCCCAAAAGGGTGAAGCTTGGAATTAGCTAGGACCTTCACAGCATCCCTCCAAACTCCTCCTTCATCCACACTATAGAGCTGGACCTATCTCAAGGGAGGTCTAGGTAGGAGAAGAGATGAAAAGCCTTCATCAGTTGGTCCTCAGAGTACATACCATCATCTAGTGGCAGAAAGGCCTAAGCTAACTGATCCCAAGGATTTCCTCAAGGAGATGATGAACTTGATCCACATCCTTTTAATCTTGTGCTCGAAAAGCTGGACTAGTTGCTCTTCATACTCTGCTTTTCCAGGGTTATTAAAACTTAACACATTTTAGCATTTTCCTCCAAACTAATAATTCTCTGGAGCTTCTTACAGGTAACAAACTTGGAGCCCTACATTTAACAGAATGCACTGAGGGGGAGAGTCGACTATGGGTAGCTTACTGAAAGTGGTCCCTAAATCTCTGAGGATCACACTTTGCTGATACTGTAATCTTTTCAAGATGGTGCTATATGGTCAACTAAGTTATTACTCCATTATGATACCCAGATTCCTCTCTGCTCTTGATCTAACGAATTCATTTAGTCACCAAATGTTCAGTATCTGCT